ATGCCATCCAGAGGGACCTTGACACGCTTGTGAGGTGGGCTGATGCCAACCTCATGAAGTTTAACCATGACAAGTGCAAGGTCCTACACTTAGGGTTGGGACAATCCCAGGCACAGCTACAGGTTGGGCAGAGAAGAGATTCAGAGCAGCCCTGCAGAGAAGGACTTGGGGGTGCTGGTCGATGAGAAAATGAACATGAGCCGGTAGTGTGCACTTGCAACCCAGAAAGCCAACCATATTCTGGGCTGCATCAACAGAAGCGTGATCAGCAGGTCGAAGGAGGTGATCCTGCCCCTTTACTCCGCTCTCATGAGACCTCACCTGCAGTGTTGTGTGCAGTTCTGGTGTCCTCAACATACAAAGGACATGGAACTGTTGGAACAAGTCCAGAGGAGGGCCACGAGGATGATCAGGGGAATGGAGCACCTCCTGTATGAAGATAGGCTGAGAAAGTTGGGGGTGTTCAGCCTGGAGAAGAGGAGGCTGCGTGGAAACCTCATAGCAGCCTTCCAGTATCTGAAGGGGGCCTATAGGGATGCTGAGGATGGACTCTTCATTAGGGACTGTAGTGGTAGGACAAGGGGTAATGGGTTAAAACTTCAACAGGGGAAGTTTAGATTGGATATTAGGAGGAAATTCTTTCCTGTTAGGGTGGTGAGGCACTGGAATAGGTTGCCCAGGGAGGTTGTGAATGCTCCATCCCTGGCAGTGTTCAAGGCCAGGTTACGAGTCCTTTGGTGAGCTGGTTTAGAGCGAGGTGTCCCTGCCCATGGCAGGGGGGTTAGAACTAGATGATCTTAAGGTCTTTGCCAACCCTAACTATTCTATGATTCTATGATTCTGTGAACTCAGCCTCATACACCCCTGCCTTGTTATAAGGAGGGTGTAGTTAGGAGAAAAAAACCTTACTGCTGCAGCTGAAAATCATGACCCAGAGCTAAAACAATGACTCCTGTATGCAGCAGTCATTCTTCTGCAAGCAACCTCTATACTCCTTTCTGATAATGAAAAGCAAAGAGAGCTCATGCTCTTATTATGTATTGGATAGGCTTCCTAGTGCATATTCCAGTAAATATATTAATATAAACAGGGTAAGAATCCACTGCCTCAGTTTATATCTAGTTCTAGACACATAATATTGCATATATATTCTTTTTTACCCACATCCAAATAAGCTTTTCTGATTATTTATTGGGATATGAGTTACAATGCACAGCACTTGTTACCTCAGGCATTAATTCATCACTATCAACCACTCTTCAAGAACAGAAAAATGTTGATTCCTTTTTGCCAGTGTTCTGTGAAACTAGACTGTCTGAAGACTCATGGAAGAATGGTAAGAAACCTTTGCATGCTGTGCTGCAAAAGACGCCAGTGGTTAGCTATTACACAGGTCACACAGAGGCATCTCAGTTGTCTATCACCTTTTAACAAAAAAAAGAGAATTGCTTTTAATTTTTTCTTTCTTTTGTAGTTAAGGCTGCTTTAAAAACAAGCTTGTAATAGGATTCAAGTTACTATTGCAAAGCAATTCAGGAATACACAAGGATATTCAAATTCAATCCACCACATAGAAGTAAATGAAAAATCAGGAGGAGGTAACACTGAAGACTGATGAGTAGAAAGACAACTGAGACAGGAAGGAAGCTGAATTAGGATTCTGTTTCTGGAATTTGGCCTTGGTGTGCAAGGTTGCTGTGAAAAAAAATTATAGTCACACTTCAGTGTGGAGGAGGACAGAGCAGGCTGCATTGTGGGGAGGAACGTGGAACACAGAAAGTCTGTTTATTTGCATTTCTTATATAAATAGCTCCTGAATCTACATTTCAGAATACTATTTCTTCTGAAGGACAAAACCAGTCTGGCAACACTAGTTACCTCTGACCTTCTTCAAAGGCATACTACTTCTCCAAAAAGCTGATGTGTGGGCGGAATATTATGCTCCTGTTTGAAACTCTATCACATAATTTTTTCTCCCTGTAAGGTGGATAGATGATTATTTATTTTCTCCACAACTAACTGCAGTGAGAGTGCCATTTAATGGAGCTGAAGATGACCTTAAAGTAAGTGGATTAAAAGCTGAGCTTTCGTAGCTACTGTTGTTAGCAGTATCGTGGCCAATATGTTTGTAGCCCTATGTTATGTATGTCTACCAGAGCTGTCACTTCCCATTAAGCAGCAGTGATCAGAGAAATGCAGTATTTTCTGGGAGATACTCCTTGGTATCAGTCTAAACATCATTGAGTAATGGGCACAGAGAGAATTGATTTTGGGGGAAAAAAAATTATATACATGTCTTCTTGGATCTCTTTTTCTCAGTTAATTCTCTCAGTGTGACTTTAGAGAACAGAGCATCGTGTGAGTTACGTCTTGTTAAATTTTGACTCAGGACCATTCACTCAACAAAACAAAACAAAAAAAAGGAGGTACAAGTAAAAATAGTAAGTGGTTTTGTTCAAAGTTCTCTCTTCTAGTAGTGATCAGGTAGCCAAATATACAAGACACTTGCTTTCAAAATTATGTGAAAACCAGAAGTCTAATAAACAGAGTTCCTAACCATGGTCAGAAGATGGCATTAAAGCTTTCAGCAGCCCCTAATGCTCACTGTTGATGATGGATAGTGATGGTTTTGACAGAGCACAATAAAAGAGTCAGTATAGCACATGAAGATGCCTTTGTCTACCACAGCATTTCTTGAGAGGATGTCAAAGGTAGGATCACAACACTGTACAGCACTATTACTTTTACAATAATTTTTGTTTTTAAAATGTGTGAACATTATATCATTAAGAGGAGCACAAGGAGTCACTGCTTTGCCACTGCAGTTCCTCTAACCATTTGGAAAGTAGAAGCCTACCAGATTGTTTCATAGATCATATTTGCAGGCTTTCTGGACTATATTTAAATATGTTATCCTGAAGATAAATGCTTTCTACAAGACCATCAATCCCTGAAGCTGTATAAGTTTTAGGTGAAAAATTCAGTATATAATTAAAGGATCCAGTGTCATAACTCTGAATTATGAGCTTCTTTTAAACCTGGTCTGGTAAGTTAAATCATACATTTTAGACATTGATGCTGATCGTGAATAAAAGTTCATCAAAAATATGTTGCCTTCAGCATACTTTTACCTTCCAAGTTAATTTATCTGCTATAACATCCCATAATATATTGAATTTAGTTATATAACTTTAGAATGATGCCTGTTAAGGAGAACTAGAACCTAACTGTGAAATCCCACTTTAAGAGACACCCTTTATATGCTGGTGAAACTCACAGATATAAAGAAACAGAGCAAAACTGTGCAGACTGGCTAATATTAACTTGCTTTATTTAAATCTGTCAAGCTTCTGCAAATACAACTGTACCAACATCCCCAAATGCAACTGTCCACCCCGAACAATCATTCTTACAGATCTGCCAAATCTAGACTTTGTAGATAAGGCCTGAAACACTGTCTTGCCTGTTTATCCATAGGAAGCCTTTGATAAACAGTGAGGGGATGACAATTCTACAATAGATACATTTGTGACAAAAAAAAAAAAAAGGAAAATTAAATTATTTCTCTTCAGCTTTGGTAGCCTTTTGTGTGATGAAAACTACCCTAACACAAGCATATGCAATATTCTTGTTAACTTTCCCAATGGTCACTCTCACAGCTGTTCCAAAGACAGCAACACAAAATTATGGGTCAATTCTCTATCTTCTTTTAAAATGGCAGATTATGACTACCAGAAGCTTTCTTCATTTCATGCCAGTAATGGTATTTGATCACTTCTGGAGACTGATACGCAAGCAAGATTATAGCTAGTTTGAAGCTACACGTTCTGACTCATCAGCTGGCTGCTCCTAGGAACTGCGAGGGTCCCTGTCTTTCTTTTAAAAAACCACAAAAGACAGTAGGGAATGCAACTGATTTCCTCTGTTCCCCTTCCCCAGAGACTGCGAAGGTGCCTCAGAAGAACAACAGGATGGGAATGCTTGGGCAAGGCCAAAACATGGACTGGTGTGGACAATTGGGGTGGACTGGCCCACAGGACTGATGTTCAAGACAGTGCAACCAGCAGGTATGTACAAAATTTGATATACCAAATGTTTAGAAGCAGAAACACAGAAATAACTGTGATTTTGGTATAGTGTTTATCATAGCACATATTTCAACCTCCTAATGACGAAGGCAAGCCAGATTATCTACGCTTCTAACACAGACATCATAAGTTACTGTAGATAATCAATTACAAATTGAAACAGAATAGATCTAAAAATCTCCACTTCAGTTTATTATTTTTGATCATTTTAGTTTCATTTTTGGTAGACTGACATGTTACATTCCTTGAAGTCTCCAATCCTGAAAACATATTGTAAGACATTCTTTTCACTTTTATTTATAGTCTGCATGTATCATAAACCCATGCATGTTTAAAGATGCAATTCATAGAATCATATAATCATAGAATAGTTAGGGTTGGAAAGGACCTTAAGATCATCAAGTTCCAACCCCCCTGCCATGGGCAGGGACACCTCACACTAAACCATATTACCCAAGGCCTCGTCCAACCTGGCCTTGAACACTGCCAGGGATGGAGCATTCACAACCTCCATGGGCAGCCTATTCCAGTGCCCCACCACCCCAACAGGAAAGAATTTCCTTATTCAACACAAACTGAAAATCTGATAGCGAATAAAACCAATTCCAAATTCATCGTTTTGCCTTTCTAGATATTAGGAGGCTTCATAAATATTCCTGCCTTAACAAGGATTGATTAGTAATAGATTTTGGAAAAACCATGGCATAGTATATGTTCTTCAAATATCTTCACTGAAATATTTTATGACAGTGTACTAGGGAACTACTCTAAGTTGTCTGTCAACAACTGGCTTAAGAAAAAAAAATTCACTTCTACCATCACAAGTATAGCCTTCATATGACTCTACTAGAGTGTATTTGTGAGTCTCATTTTTTAACAAAGAATTACCCTGCATCAAAAATCACATGCATATTTTGGAACTTTACTAGAGCTTTTTTATTTATAGAAGTATCTATTCTTCAAAAGACACTTCATATTCATAATTAATTTATTTCTTTATTCCTGATACTTTTTGTTTACTGTTATATGAATGTTAAATCAAGAACTTCTATTTTTCTTTACAGCCCAGTTAAAATTTACCTAAGATCAAAATCATTTGTCTTATCCTTAATTAATCATCAATTTAATTGCATTAATATGTAACAGATTCAAAATTTTTTTTTGCATTTTAACAAACATTCTAGATCATAAAAATTTGATTGGTGATTCATCTTGTCAGACTGTAAATCCCACAGAAAAGAAAACAGAAGGGACCCATCGTAAAAGCTACATCATGCTCTTTTATTGAATTACCTTTGCAATTATTAGATGAACACACAGTGTTAAATTGGTACCACAAAAAAGGTTAGATTAACAAACCACAGTGATGAAGGCTGAAAGCCATAAGCACAATCAACATTCCTGGGAATGCAGGAAACCCAACAACTTTCTATAGATTTTTATTTATTTATTTTCTAGTATTTTTAATAACCAAGTGGATGGAGAAGCACATGAGGACTGGGAACACACTTCCTAAATAAGAGGGTTTTGTCTCCAGCCAAAGGTATAAGCAAGCTTTTGCACTTCAGGTAAATCTGACAAAATTCTGAAACGCCTGATGAAGAAATCCTATTCCAAAACATAACCAGCTGTCAGCAAAAGCTTTTAGCAATTATTTGTGTGATTTAAAAATTACCTAGAATTCATTTCCTGCCCAGAGAGTACACACTGCTTGTTCTCTCTTCTGGACATACATGGTGCCAAATGTCGTGTAGACTCCTTTCATAGGAAAGCTTGTCAGAAATGCAAGTCACATTGCTAGAAAAATATCTGCATTTAGAATTCAACTTCAAAGACTCAGTTCAAAGAGTTCTGGTAAAAAATACAAAGAAAAAGCAAGGGGAAAAAAAAAAGTATGGAACTGAGAAGTAAAGCACTCCGAAGTTTTATACTGCCAGTCTTAGTGAAAAACTAACATATAGCAGATCTTTAAATGTTAACCAGAGCCTCAATTTTACAATTAAAGAGTTTCAGTAATTACAGCACAAATCAGAAATCGGAGGACTAAGTTGAATTTTTAAGTAGTATCCCATTTCCTATGTGCAAGAACTTCTGAACACTGAACTGTGGCAGACGGAACGTGTATCCATTACATGCAGAAAAGAAATGTGGGTACGATGAGGACTGTATTGCAAGCTAATACAAAATATAGCAGAAATAATAAAATAAAGTATTTTACATTGGGGACTACTATTGCCAGGCATTTGAAGGAATGTTTTTATTTACATTTGCAGAGATATTACAACCCAAAGTGACACTAGAAATTCTTACAATGCAGGATAAAATACTGTTATATATACATATAAAAAATAAAAACCCCACTATGACACTCTGAAATAAAACAAAAAAATACTTCTCATTCAACACATCTAGTTACGTTAAATCATATTACAACTGTAGTTATAGCAAAAGATAATTTGATAAGATACTTGTCCGTTACTTATCAACCATAAAATAAATAAACGAATTTATAAAACTCTCTGAAGAGTCAAAGAAAACCAAGATTCATACCTGTAAGGAAAGGGTGGTATTCCTGATCTGCTGACTCAAGTGATCCAGTTCCTTAGGATACACGAATTGCTCAGATTAGAAGCATTATTTTAATTTCTTTCAATTAAGAAAGCCATTTTACATATTATGCCAATTTTCATTTTCCTTTTTATGAGTAAGGGAAATATTAATGAGAATCCACACAATACAGATTAACATACAGTACTGAGGTTCTGCTTAATTAATTTACACACAACAGTAAGAAAACCCCTCCAAATTTCAAGTAACATAGGCTGTTGGTAAAAGTTATACAGAACAAAAATTAGACTGAATGATAGTGCTAGTGACTTGTGCGTAAACCGGAGATAAGAGAGTTACTCCTTGACAATCCCAAATTTAACAGAATTGAGTTGAGGTTTATACAGAGAAAAACATGATCTGGGTTTGTAGTCCTGTGCAGTTCTTGGATCATTTGGTGAAGAGTAAACATTTCAAACATCTTCTTATTACTTCTGCAAAAGATTTTACATACAATAGTATCAATTTAAAATTGAGAGGTTTCATCTAAACATTAAAGATTCTACAGAAAATGGTATTTTTAATGAAGAAAAATGTGCATTACATTGGCATACAAGTCTTCTACATTGCGTATAATGTCTCTAAGCTGTAGGTTATAATTGCATGGTGAGAAAAATCTTGTCAAAAGTCACCAAAAAAATAGAATTTTACTTGAGTAAGTGAACATATAGTATAATCAAAGCTGATGGAAAGGCTATTACAGGGTTTCACACTCATGTGGAAAGTTTCTAAAAGCAACAAATGAAAAATGTTTAATTTTACTTTTAGTACCTTTCCAATGCAATTTATAGAATCACAGAATGGTTTGGGCTGGAAGCGACATTAAAGATCCAGTTCCAACCCCATCTGCTAACAGCGAACATCCAGCATTGTCTATGGTGGAGCAAATAAACAGCAAAACAGAGATGAGTTTTTGAAAAAGGAGAAAAATAAAAGGCTTTGAGTTTGCTGATCTAACAATAACTAACAGAATAATAGTAATAAAGAATTACTTTATTCTGGAGAGTTTTTGCAGTATCACACAGAGCTTTTCCAAAATCTGAGTATCTAGCTTAGAACTTCGAAGCAAAACAGAGCAAGTTCGGAAGAAGGATTCATTACTGCAGGCTTCCAGGAAAGGCTGTACAGAATCTGTAAAAGAAAACAATTAAAATCTATATTACACAGCTCAGTGCATGGAAAAGTAAAATAGCTGTTAGATACATTTAAAGGGCTTTAAGTGCCTCAATGTTGTGCAACTATTAGCAGCACGAAACAATTCAGTTTATGCTGAGCATGTGATGCAAAACTCAGGTAAAACTAGGAACTAAAAAATGTGAGTTCCATAGAGTTCTGACATTTCCAACCCTTGTATTAAAACAAGGCCTATTCCCTTGAGAACAAAGGAAAACAGGAAACAAAACACTTTTAAACTCAAATAAAAATTCTTATCTTGAACGTGCTTACTCAATGCTCATTTATCATGGTTATTTCCTTGTGATCATGTGAGGGGAACATTAAGCCGTGCAAAAAGACTCAGAAGGAAATACTTTAAGCTGCTGCAAATCACATGGAGAGGGACAGTACATGTAGAAGCTAATGTGATACCTGAGAGCCTTTCATTGTCAAAATACTGTCACTGTACTCTTTTTCAAGACAGGCAAAATAACACTTGAAAGGTAAAAGTAAGAGCTGGATAAGAACACTTCCATATATTTAAATACCAACAAAACTCCCTTAAAATAATGGATGAGTTTTTAAATCACATTGAACATTTCCCTTTATCCTACTCCTCAGAATCAAATCACTTCTGAAAAAGGTTAAATCTGTTCCTCTGTTATGTCATTCTCGCTTCTGATATTAATTTATAGTAAAAACAAAGAAAATAAGTAACAACTGATTATTTTTGTTAAAATGAATAGTCTTTCACATAGGATAGGGCATTTACATCAGCAGAATACACATTAGGAAAACATTTTAATGTTTGCATGTTAAAAATATTTTTTTATTTTGTATGTGTTATACTTAATAAGAAATTGCACTATGCAAGTTACAGCATAAACCAATAAACACCGACATTAAAAAATTCTTTGTACATGTGCTGAATACTGTAATTTATAAATAGGATGTCAAGATGCTTTTATCAGTACAGAGAGGACAGATGTATCTTTCGGTCAAAATTTTCCCTTTCCTTGGTGCAAGGATATACAAATTACTAAATATAAGTAGTAGCCTTGGAGTGAATTCAAGGTTTTAATTTATTTGAGGATGCTTACTGATACAAAATGAAAAGAAATGCCACAGAAAAGCTGTTCAGAATAGGGACCAAGAAAAAAAAAATCAACTTGGCAATTAAAGTGAGCTTGAGAGCCTAAACAACTAATTGTCAACAAGGACACAGTAATTCCTAGACCTTACTGTTAGGAAGAAGATCTTTCAAAACCTGTATTTTATGCTGCAGAAGGTATTATTTTTCAGGAACTGTGATATCAAAAACTTAGGGCTACCTGTCAGTAACAGCAAGCAGAAAATCCTTACATGGGTTCAGAGAGTGTGCTCCGTTAACTGATACACAACTGACATACACTCAAGAATCAGTGCTCTTTATTGAGCCACTGCTCTCTATAACAGAACTTTGAAGTATTAAGTACACACAGCAGTGTCTTAAACCTGGAAAAATAATTAACCCAGAAGTCACTTCTAGTATGATACTATCATGCCCTAGTAAGTCTAACTTGTTAAAATCCATAAGGTGACAAAAACTATAAACAGAAATGGCAAATACGCAAAGTACAATGAATACAATCCCAATATATCTTAACAGTACTTCATGTCAAAGCACTTCCATCACTTAAGAGTGAGGTAAACACTTCTATACCAGTACCAAGAAGTTATAACCTTCCCTGAAGCAAGAAAAACCTAGAACTACAAATTATGTTATCATAACTTTATAGAAATTATACGGGACTACAACTTCTAGAAATTCTTCTATAGCTTGCTAGGGCTCCTACAAATGACTGCCTATTTGCAAGAAACAGGAATGGTCCTATCTATTTGCATTGCACCACTAACGAAATCTGTTTTAACAACAAAAACTTTAAACAGTATCTCTTACTTACGAAAGGTGAGAAAAGTGTAAATAAATGTGTAAGAACACTGACATTCAAAACGTAAATTGAAAAGAAAGGTTTTTCTTCTTTCCATTGCCTGTTAAAATGCTTTAGAAACCTCTCATTTTACACAAGTTCTGAATTAGCTGAATTCTGATTCATGAGAGATCTGAAGGAAGTAAGTCTGTTGGGATGAAGAGGGCGGTCCTACAATTTATTCATATAAAACTCCTTAAATAGTCATAAAATGCTTTCACAGTCCTTTTCTGCAGGGGTAAACAAATACCATTTCAGCTGACCTGGAGAGTTCTTTGCTGCCTTGCTCTTACTGGCTCCTTAAAACTAATTCATTTAAAAATAATAACTAGAGAGAGGCTTAAGAATGTTTTGACTATGAAGTTTATGAACCAGTGTAAAATATATGCGGTAATTTTGAGACAGGATTTTTGCTACAAAACAGAAGAGCCAAAGTAGAAATAATTTTTAAAAGTTTGCAAAGTTCAATGATGTATCCTGGTTTCAGCTGTAACACTTATTTTTCTTCCTAGTAGCTGGTGCAGAGTTGTGTTTCAGCTTTAGTCTGGGAACAATGCTGGTAACACACTGATGTTTTAGTTTTTCCTAAGTAATGCTTACTCCAATCAAGGGACTTTTCAGCTTCATGCTCTGCCAGTGAGAAGGGGCACGGGAAGCTGGAAGGAAGCAGAGACAGGACACCTGACCTGAACTAACCAAAGGGGTATTCCATACCACAGCACATCATGCCCAGTATAGAAACAGGGGGAGTGCCCCAGAAGGCCCAGATCACTGCTCCGGTCAGCCTGGGTATAGGTTGGTGGGAGGGGGAGCAATGGCACTGTGCATCACTTGGGTTTTCTGAGCTTTCATTTCTTCTCTTGTTTCCTATTATTATTGTTGTTGTTAATGGTTTTCTTTCTTTTATCACTATATTTTACTTTATTTTAGTTATTAAACTGTTCTTATCTCTACCCATGGGGTTTACATTCTTTTGATTCTCCTCCCCATCCCACCCAGCTGCACGGCACTGAGTTACCGGCTGGGTTTAAAACATGACAATGAGAAAGCAAACTGATAAAGGCATACATTTAAAAGACACACATTCTGTACACTGTTTATATATTCCCTTCAGATAAGCTTTTGGAGAACATGTTCTGCATATAAGTTAAATGCATGTCTAGCTGATGAGGTAAAAGAATATAAGCTTTACATTTTAAATATTTTGGTGCATTTTAAAATATTCTAGATCTGCACAGATTTTTTTTTTTATTAACTATTTTAGAAAAACTAAATTGGAGTCCATCCTGACAGGACTTTGGCACAATTTAATCTGCAAAAGCCTCGCTGGTATCCTTAATAAAATTGCAGCCTGCCTTAGCTGCATTAGCTTAACTTGATTGGTAGGCTGCAATGAACAATAAGCAATTTATCAGTGTTGACAGAATTCATTTGAAATTTACCCTCAAAGTAATCAGTCACTCACAGCATAAAATCTCACCAGCTATAGTCAACTGGAAAATTCTGTTTTATACCAAAAGCTAAACCCCTCAGAAAATGAAGACAGTCCAGAATGCCAACTCTAAGTTCATGTTTTAACAAATTAACGATTACGATTTTGCATCATTTCTAATTGCATGAGGATCTGCCGGGATAATGGAGAACAGGTGACAGCAATGCAAGTGAATCACACACAACTGTCTGCTAGCATGGAAAAGTTAACTACAAATTATGCATCACAGCAGAAACACTTAAAAGGAAACAGTAATATCACATGTTGCTAATCACCAACTGTCTATAATACAGTCACCTGTATGACTTGAACCATTTGCTGAATTTAACTTTTTTTCGTATAATCAATAGCCAGGATGACCAAGTGCCACTGATTAAAGCACTGTGGAGATAGGGTGACATTCCATTCAGCACAAGGCACCTCAGATGCAGATGTTTACGTGGGTGACCCTGAATTAAGGGAGCCCAAGCAGCAGGGTCACCCAGTATGTGCTGACCTCAGTATGATCTGAATTACTCTTAAGTTTCCTACAGTATGCAAGATATTAATGCAGACATGAGACAGGACATATGGGAGACCAATATCATTCTCAAATGGCAGCTGAAGTTACATCCACCAAAAAAAAAAAAAAAGAAATCACAGGAGGAACCTCTGACTTGGAGGTCAGAAACTATCCTTATGGTAAGAAGGACAGTACGAAAAGTCAATGCAGGCTTCAGTAAGAAACAAAAAGTTCTCTCAGCCATATACGTAAAAAAAGGTAGCAAGGTCACCTCACTAACCAGACCCATTAGAGATAAGCCACGGGTACAGCACACCAATGTTTGAGATATGGTGTGCTAGCAAGGTCCTTTGGTCTACCATCTCAGGGGAAGCAAGTGATGGAGAACCATGTGTCAGCCAAGACACAAGGGTTGCTGATGAGTTATAAACTACACATCAATAGAAGTGCCCGGGAATGGTTATGTAGGAATTATGGCTTCCCTGCAAAAAGGTGGTGGGATCAATAGCTCAACCTAAGTGCACCTACACCAGTGCATGCAGCATGTGCAACAAATAGGAAGAGCTGGAAGCCATTGTGCAGCAGGAAAATTATGAAATAGCTGCCATGATGGAAACATGTTGGGATGACTCCCACAAGCAGAGTGCTGCAATGGGTGGTTATAAACTCTTCAGAAGAGATAGGCAAAGAAGGATAAGCCATGGGGTAGCCCTCTATGTTAGGGCTACCTCACACACAGGGCTAGAGCTTGATGATGGTGACAATGGGGTTGTGTAGTTTACGGCTAAGAATCAGGGGAAAGGACAAGACAGACATAATCGTGGGAGTCTGTTACAGACCACCCAACCAGGATAAAGAGGCAGATGAAATATTCTATAAGCAGGTGAGAGAAGCCTCACTGTCACTAACCCTTGTTCTCATAGGGGATTTCCACTTACCAGACGTCTCCCGGAAGTACAATACAGCAAACTGTCCAGGAGGTTCCTACAGTGTGGAAGAAAACCTGCTGACA